GCCGGGGCATGCTCCGAGGAAGCCAATGGCTCCCTCTCTGGGTCTCAGGCCAGGAGCTCCAGGGAGGAAACACCAACTTCCCACTGATAGCGAGCCAGGAGGGCAGCCGGTGGGCTGGCGGGCTGGTGGGCAGGCTAGCGGGTGCCCGAAGGGCGCGGGTTGGGCTAGTGGAGGAGTCCCAGTACTCACAGGGGGGATGAGGGGAAACCCTTCCATTTTGCACGCCTGTAACATCCAGCCGAGCTCCGAGCCGGTCAGGTCCCCTGCCTTGGTGGGGGCCAGTGCGGAGCCCCTTGGGATGGGGCGCCCCGTCTGGGGCTGGATGGTCTCAGGGCGGGCGCAGGGCTCAGGCCTGCCCCTGAGCTACAGGAGCCCTGGGTGAGCCCCCTCCCTTGACATTGCAGGGCCAGCGCAAGTTCCTGATTTTATCGAAGGGCCTGCCACTGGGAGATAGTCCCCTTGGGGTGACATCACTGCCTCAGCCCGTTTGCATAAATCTCTTGCGCTACAGGAAGTCTCTGGCCTGCTGGGGCAGGTGGTGCTCCAGGCGCTGGCCTGGGAGGCCATGGGGGCCAGGCCCCCTGCCCAGAGGAAGCTGGGACTGTGAGGGGCGGCCTTGGGGGTGAGGGTAAGGAGGAAGAGTGGGAGTGAGGAAGGCTAGCTCTACCACCTGGGGGCTTTTGCTGCTCCCGGGCCCTGATGAGGCTCTCCAACCCCAGCCCCACACATGCCTGCTTCTCTTGAGACCCCCACGTGGCCAACAGTCACTTCCTTGGGGTAAAAGCTGGTAGGGGTGGCCTCTTGGGGCCTCCACTTTCTGGGGTCAGCCTGGCTGGCTGAAGGGTCTGATCCAGCTGACTGCCAGGCCTGGCTCTTCCTGGGCCCTGGGCCCCCAGTGCCTAGGGTCTACCCGGCCTGGGGCTGGGCTCAGCGGCGGGGTCCTCAGCACAGTGCCACTTTCTCCTTTCTTCTGAGTCCAGCTTCCCTCCCATCCCAGCTTCCCGAGTGACCACTGCTTCTTCCAAATCCCTAGGGGCTCTATTCCCAGCCCACATTTCTCAGTTTCCCCACACCCTGCCAATGCCTGAATATCAATCTAGTCTTCCTGGTTTACAAATATTTCTTATCTGTCCATCATTCATCTATTTCCCCATCCATTTGTTTATCTATTTGTTCATCTATCTATCCACCCATCAAGCCAGTCATACATTCATTTCTCTGTCTATTTGTCCAACTGTCCGTTCATTCATCCATTTATATGTTAGTCCATTCACCTATCCACCCATCTGTTTGTCTACTTGTCCATCTATCCATCCATCCGTTATTAATCCATCAGTCTATATTTCCATCTGTTCATCCACTCTATATCCAGCTATCAATCTACTCATCCATTGATTCATTCATTCACTCATCCATCCATCCACCTATTCATCCATCCATTCATCCACCCCCCAATCCACTCACCCACACATCTATCCATCCATCCACCCATCCACTCATGCATCTACCCACCTGCCCACCCATCCACCCATCCATCCATCCATCCATCCATCCATCTACCCACCCATCCCCCCATCCCCCCATCCATGCATCCTGTCAATATTAATTGAGTTCCAGGCTCTATGCTGACTGCTGGGAAAATAGAAAAGTACTGGACAAGATCCCTGCCTTTGGAGAACCCCTCATCTAGTCTGGAGGGCAGAGGGCTGAACGGAGACATTTTTTGATCCAATGATCTCTAGTGAGTTTGCTCTGCAAGAGAAGCAGCTCTTGAGCATCCCACTTCCTCCCCTATGTAGTCTAACCCTTCCCGCTAAGACCTGCCTCTTTCCTGTCAGTGGAACCCCAGCCCCAAGTGCTTCTTCACAGGCATTCACAGGTCTGGGTTCACCATTAGATCTACTTCACTTCCATCTTCACTGAGTTTTTGCAGCTCACTTGGGACCCTCCAAAGGGACCGGTTCTCAGGATTCCCCAGGAACCTGAACAAGGCCCCTCCCCAAGAGGAGAGGAGAGGCAGGCTGACTTGCCATCCGTTCCATCCTTGCTCTCCACTTCCTGATCAAGAAGGCTGAGTTCACTGACTGGATGTGTGTGGGAGTGGGTCTAGTCTGTGAAAACCAGGTCCTGCTTGATATATTCATTCATTCCTTCATGCGTTCATTATTGTCTTGGCTTGGTTTGTTTATCTGCTTATTTATCTACTCATTCATTCATTTAATCACTAACTTTTTGTGTGTATGTGTGAGGAAAATTGGCCCTGAACTAATGTCTGCTGCCAATCCTCCTCTTTTTGCTTGAGGAAGATTGTCCCTGAGCTAACATCCTTGCCAATCTTCCTCTACTTTGTATGTGGGACGCCACCACAGCATGGCTTGATGAGCAGTGTGCAGCTCCACGCCCAGGATCTGAACCTGCGAACCCCGGGCCACCAAAGCAGAGAGTGAACCTAACCACTATACCACCGGGCTGGCCTCACTAATTTTTTTGTTTTTAAAGATTTTATTTTTTTTCCTTTTTCTCCCCAAAGCCCCCCAGCACATAGCTATGTATTTTTGGTTGTGGGTCCCTCTGGTTGTGGCACATGGGATGCTGCCTCAGCATGGCCTGATGAGTGGTGCCATGTATGTGCTCAGGATTCAAACTGGCGTAAACCTGGGCCACTGAAGCAGAGCGCATGAACTTAACCACTTGGCCACAGGGCTGGCCCCTCACTAACTTTTTATCGAGGGTCTTCCACGTGCTGGGCCTGGTAAGGGGGCACAAAGGTGAACGAGGTATGCCTGGGCCTCCAGCAGTTCACAGGGCTACAGAGAGAACAGACATGGAAACAGACGGTATGGTTTTGGGGGGAGGCGGGGGCACAAGAGAGGGAGGTGCTAGGCGCACTGGGGAAGAGTTAATTTGGTATGGGCACAGGAGGGAACGCAGGCAAGGGAAAAGATGTCTGACTGAGGAACCAGCCTGAGCAAAGGCAAGGAGGTGGAAAAGAACAAGGGGATAGTGAGCCACCATCCTTGAGGCTGGAAGTAAGATAGGACACGAAGGCGAAGAGTCTTGAGTGTCAAGCCAAGGAGCCTGGGTCAAATCCAGGGGTGAGTGGAGCCTTTGCTGGGTGTGAGCAGGGAATGTGGCGCTCTTCTCCGTGGATGCAGCAGCAGACCCAGTTGGCTAGGTGTTCCTGAGGTCTAAATCTCAAGGGGTCCCAGGAGAAGTAAGAGATTCCATTGTCCCAAGTCTGGCCAAGCCCAAGGGGGCCTGGGTAAGGAAGCTCAAAAAAGACCCAGGGCCCCAAATCTCTGGAAACGGGCAGAATGACTCTCGCTTTCTGTGCAGCGCCAGCATCTGTGTCCATTCACACACCGAATCCTCTCCATCTTTCCTCCCACTTCCCCTCCTCCTCTTCCCGAGGCCTCACATCCCCAGGGCCCTGCTGTTCTTCAAAGCCTTTGGAATAGTGGGACCCAGATTCTAAGTGATGCTGAGCAGAGCAGCGGGCTTGGATCCACAGCCCCAGGGCTAACATCTCCTTTAAAAGGGAGTGGGGGATTATTTTCTGAGTGCCCAGCACTGTGCTGGGTGCTTCCACCCTTGTGATCTCATGTAACCAAGACAACCAGCTATTACACCAAGGCCCCAGAGGTCAGGGACTCGCCCAGGGTCACGCAGCTGGAGAGTAGAGAGTTGGGGCATGAAGAGCCTCGGAAGGGCTGGATCCTAGTGAGGGGGAAGGAAGCAAGAAGAAAGACTGAGAAGCGAAGCATGGAGAGGGCAGGGAGAGAGGGGCAAAAGGCAGCAAGGATTGGAGAGGAAGGGAAAGAGAAACAAATTAGAAGAGTCAAAGAAGACACTAGCGAGAAGTGAGCCAAGAAAGAGAAGCCAAGGCGAGGGTGGTGGAAGAGGAGAACAAAGCAGAGGAGAGAGAGGAGACGGGACAGCAGGTGGCTGAGAGGTGACAGGACCTTAGATGGGCTGCCCGGCCTCCTTTCTCTGCAGCAGAGGAAACGGGGACCAGAGAGGGTGCCTGACCTGCTGGAGGTCACCAGGTGTCTCACGCCTGGGCTGTGGCTCTCATTATTGTCAGCAAGAAATTCGTTTGAAACCAAAAATCTTGGGGGCTCCAGGAAAGGAGAGGCCAAAAATTTTTTTTTAATTATTTTATTTTTTGAATAGGTAACACATGCACAAGGTACAAAATCCAAAAGGTACAGAAAGGGAAACTGCCCAGTGCCTCTTCCACAGGTTACTCCCCTGTTCCCAATTCTTGCATATTTTTCTAGAAAAAGTCTAAGCAGACAAAAGCATAGAGGCAGATAAATTCTTTTCTTAATTCCACACAGACGGCAGCATACTAAACACATTGTACTTCCCTATGGTTGGTTTTTCTCCCCTAAATCCATTCCATGTCTGTGCGTATAGAGCTGTCTTGTGCTTTTTAAAGATTGTATAACATTCCACTGTTTGGATGGACCATGATATTTTTAAATCATGAGAGGTCTCATTCATACAAAAGAGAGCACAGACCATTTATGTAGAGTTTAAATAAGAATTACAAGGCTGACACGTAACCACCATCCAGGTCAAAAAATAAAACATTGCCAGCACACCAGAAGCATCTCCCAAAGGTCCCAACAGCCACCTCCCTCTCTCTAGAAGTAACACGATCTTAATTTTTTCAGTCATTCTTTCTTTGTTTTTCTTTGTAGTTTCACAACTTATGTAAACATCCCTAACAATATAGTTTCGTTTTTTATCTTAACAGATTTTAACATTTCCATAAAGAGAATCATAGTGTAACTACTCTTCTGGGTCCTGCTTCTTTTTCCCACCATGTTGTTGTGTCCAGCTGTGGTCCATTTTCGTTGCTGTATAGTATTCCATTATTACAAAATATTTAACCAGTCTCTTCTTGACGGACATTTGGGTTGTTTCCACTCTTTTGCTATTACAAATAATACTACAATTGATAAAATTTGGTAATTTGCACATAAGCAAGTGTATGTCTAGGATAAATTCCCCAAAGTTGAAATGCTGGGTCAAAGGGCAGTGCTTTTTTTTTTTCTTTGCAGGAAGCTGGAGGGGAGTAGCTGGAATAGTTGGGAGGAGACTTGAGTTAAACGTTCCCTGGGCTACACGGACTACAGCGCCAGCTCAAGGTAGCGGTTCTCATGCTTTTACATTTGTTTGTCTCTAAAAAAGCATCCTTCAACAGTGAAGAACAAAACGTATTCTTTTGCCTTAGATGAAAACAATGTAGGAGAAAAGCCTACTCCTGTGGAAGCACAGCCGGTCCGCTGTATCCGCAGGTTCTGCACCCGCGGATTCAACTAACTGCGGATCGGTCCGGACCGTGTTTACACGTACCATGCTTACGATCCGCGGTTGGTTGGATCCGTGGATGCGGAACCCGCGGATACGGAGGGCGACTAAAGGACTTGAGCATCCGTGGATTTTGGTATCTAAAGGGGTCCTGCAACAAATCCTCGGCAGATGCCAAAAGACAACTGTAAATGTTTGAAGGGAAACTAAAATACGATAAACTCTCTTTTTTCTGTATTTAATTTTTCAAGGCTCATCTTGACAAATAAGAGATTGATACTGAAAAGGAAATTACCACAACCAAATACAACCTTGTGCACCTCCCTTTAGACACCAACAAGTAGTATCTGAAATTACCTTAAATAGAAATTAAAAGTCCTTAAATTATGAGTAATAGTGAAAATGAGACATCTCTATCATAACTCTTTGGAGAAGAGACCAGCTCATTTATCTAGATTTTATAACATAAGTGCACAGGAATTTTTGACTCACCTCTTTTAATGTCAGACATATATTTTTTTAATTAAGATATCATTGACATGTAATAGTGTATTAGTTTTAGGTGTACTGCATTTTAAATTTTGAGATAGATGATAAGTGATAGACAGAGACGGATGACAGACAGTCACACTGCCCTTGACAAAAGTTGTACCCACTTACCCTCCTCCCAGCAGCACATGACAGTGCTGTCTCCCCAGCCCACTGGACAAGTAGGTGGCCCTGTAGGGCTGGGCCCTGCAGAGCAACGGCGAGGCCAGGCAGGCCTGGGGTAGTTGGTGGAGGGCTGGGCAGCCCTTTGCCCGCACTGGGCTGGGCCGCTGAAGAGGGAGTCTGGGTGCTATTGCAATCACAGGGTACGCAGACAACAGGAAATGTGGGTGCTGTACCCTCGAACCTGAGTGCACAGAGGGGGACACGACCCCCGCACTCGCGCACCCTCAACCTCAGCCCCGAAGAGCTCTCAAATGAGGGAACGCCCCCTCCCACTTTCCCAGCCATCGGTCCCCACGGGGAGTGACGGGGCATGTGGGGAAAGTCGGGCCTCAGGCCAAGAGCTGGGAAAGTTGACCAAAAAGAGCTGAACCCGTGTACAGAAATGGCTGTCTTGCAACTTCCTCTCACGGTTGAGACACTGCGAGAGGCTCCTTGAGCCCCAGTCTGGGTCGCCTGGGCCCCTCAGAGCTCCTCGAGTCGGGTCAGTGCACTGGGCTGGCTCCTTCGTGCTCTGGGACATCCAGCAAATGTTGACTCAGGGCCTCTTGGGGCCAGGCGACCTGAACGGGCAAAGATGCCTGTCCTCATGGGGCTTGTCCTCAAGCAGGGAAGACAGGGGGTAGCTTAGTAGCTGAGGGCATTTCACTGCATGTTAGAGTAACATCACTATAAGAAAGAGAGCATATCGCTGGGTGGCGGGGACCCCAGGCAGGAGCAGAGTAGGACAGCGGGGACAGTGTGCACTATTAAAGAGGATGGGCAGGACAGGCCTCACCGAGAAGGGGACACTTGAATAAACTGTGGCAGCAAGTGAGGGAGCGAGCCCAGCAGGTATGTGGGAGCGGAGCTCCAGGCAGGGGACCTCCCCTACAAACGCACAAACCAGGAGCAGCGAGGGGGGCGCTGTGAGTAGAGCCAGGGGCAGGAGGTGAGGCAAGAGAGGTGAGGGCTGGGGCAGGGAGGGCCTTGGGGGCACTGTGTGGGATTTGGTTCTGATTTGGGGTGAAACAGGGTACCGTGGCAGGGCTCATTCTCTCTTCGTTGAATCTGAAGTTGGTGCCATTATCATCCCCGGGGGACAGATGGAGAAACTGAGGCTCAGAAGTGGTCCATGCCTTGCACAGCAGGGCTCAGCCAATCTGGTACAGGTGAGGCTCAAGCCTCGGTTTGCCTGAGACCCCAGCTGTATCCACAGCAGGTGCTGTGGGCCTTGAGAACAGCAGGGGAAGAGGAGCAGACATTAGTTGAGCCCCTTGTCTATCTGTGTTAACTCACCCCCCTCCCACAATCCTGTGAGGCAGGCGTTTGAGGATCAGTGCCATTTTACAGAGGAGGGAGATGAGGCTCAGAGTGGTGAGGGGCGTGCCCGAGGACACACAGCCTGGAGTGGGGTGAGAGGTGACTGCTGCTCTGAGTGGCTCCGGGGCCTGTGCTTCCGCTGTCCCCATGTGGAGTTTGTCCCGTGGGTATTTCCCTACCCAAGAAGCTTGGCTGGAGTCTAAATCTCTGAGGCCTATGCAGGAGCCCCCAACATCCCCAATTGAGCAGCCTCTCCCCGCTCCCCCACCCACGCGGACCCGCCCCACCCCCACCTCCAGCCAGAAGATACTGCTCAACATTCCCAGAACCTCTTTCTCAATCTCCCACGGCCTTTGCTCACAGGCCACCCCCTTCCACACCCTAAGGCCTCCGTCTTTCAAGGGCTCACCTCCTCCAGGCTGCCTCCCCAGATAGCCCTCCAGCCCCCCGAGTCCCTCCTCTCACTCTGCGCCAGCTCCTGCCGCCTGCTCCCCAGCCCCAGCGGCCAGGGGACAGAGATCCGCCGTGCCCCAAATCCCGGCCACCCCACCGCACGCTCGTCTCCTGCTGACCAGGCCTGCAGCGGGGAGCTCACCTCCCGCCACATCACTCAGCCTCCGGCACCTCAAACCCACCGCCACCCACAGTGACTTCCTTCTGCTCACCACGGGCAGCACCCCCCCACCTCTGCTCTCTCACTGAGGACAGGAGCCGCTTCCCCCAGGTCCCCTTCTCTGCAGAGCCCCCAACACCCCTGGACCCTTCCCCGTGATTCGCCCGATGGCCTTTGGACGAATTCCTTCCCCCAGCCAAAGCTCAGAGGCTTCCATTTTGTGTGTGTGTGTGTGTGGGGGGGGGGGTCAAGACCCATCTCCCAGCATTGTTCAAAGGACTGACAGAGATTTGTAAGCCTTTTCCTGGTATACAGCAGGGGTTCAATTAGTGCATGTTTCCCTCATTGGCCTCCACACATGCTTACTGAGCCTTCTGGGGGTTAGGAGTGTGGCTCTGGAGACCTCGACTTGAATCCTGTCCCTTCCCTTGGTTGGCTGGCTGGCTGAGGACAAGTCACTCCTCGGGGCTTCAATGTCCTCATCTACAAAAGGGAGCACTAATAAGATGCAGCTGGCATGTCGTGAGAATTAGATGAGGTAGCAGGCATGATGCTTGAGGGTGATGTGTGTGCCCAGCATCCCTCGGGAGGGAGGAAGGCTCACCCTGTCCCCGGGAGCTCAGGATCTCTGCAGCCTTCAGCCCTTCAGAGTTCCCGACCCCTGGCCTCTCCACAGCCTCCTTGGAAAAACTGAGAAATGCAAGGAGCTGGGAAGCTGGTGGAGGAGCCGTGAGACAGCGACCTCCCCTCCTCTGCCCTTCCCACACTTCTCTCTCACCCTCCCCGTCTGAGCCACCAGCTCTTGAGACAGGGAAGCCAGAGGGAGAAAAGGGGCCCAGGTGTGGAGTGGGGACCCCGGGACAGGATGAGAGGGGCGCTTTGAGAAGCAGAAGGGAAAAGTATTTGTTACTGAGCTGCCACCAGGGGCCCGGCAGTTGAACCTTCACAACAAGGCCGTGGGATGGAATGATCTCCATTTTACAGATGAGAAGTGGGGCGCAGAGCAGACGCAGGCACTGCTCCAGGTCACAGAGCAGAAGGGGCCGGAATCAGGATGGGACCCAGGCTGATCTTACTCCAACGCTGGTGCTCCCAGCCCAGAGCGGGCTCGGGGTGTGTGCCATGTCTCCTTGGACAGGGGTCTCTGCCTAGGAGGGGAGCGAGAGGGCCCTGAGGGGGCCAGTGAGGGAGAGGCTGCCTTCGACTTCCAGGATGTGGGGCCCAAGGCCAGTTCGAGGCTGCCCAGGGGGCCCCGGCTTGCTGGGGGGCAGTGCGGGGTGCAGGAGCAGGAGGCACGGGCCCAGAAGGAGTTAACTGCATGAGGGGCCTGGGTGAATCAGAGGCCCCGCAGGCTGCGATGGAAATTCCCTGTGCATGGCGTGTGGTCACCCAGAAAAGGGAAACGGTGCTTTTCGGAGCAGGGGACGGCGGGGGCTGGAGCCCGGGAGCAGACGCCTGCCCGGGTGGGGCTGGCGAGGGCGTTGTGACCAAAGAGGCCTGGCCTCCCGATCTGCTCTGGCGCTGGGTGGGAAAAGGGAGCTAAGGAGCCACCAGGCCAGGCCAAGCCTGGTCATGCTATGGTGTGTCCATGGGCCCTGACGGATGGGTAGGAGTTCACCAGGCCCAGAGGAAGGAAGGATACTCGGGCGTGGGAACTACTGGAGCTAAGGCATAGGAGTGTGACTCAGCATGGAAAGCCAGTCCCCTTGCTTTTGCTGCGGAACTCTTTCCTGTCCTTCAAGGTCCATGCCAAGTGCCACCCCTCCCCACCCCAGGGAGCACTCATCACTTCTTCTGCATGTCCCACAGCCTCAGTTTCCCTCTCGGAGGTCTCAAGATTTTATAGGTCATCTGCCTTCTCCACAGGACTGTGGGCAGGGGCCATGTCCTAGCTTTAGAGACAGCTTGCACCCAGCATAGAGCTGGCACTGAGTACCTGCTCGGTGTTTGTGAAATCACAATTTCTCAGAAGAGGATTCTAAGGCTCAGAGAGGTTAATTTCAAATCAGCCAGCTGGCTGTGGCTGAGCGGGGCTCAGGCCAGAGCTCTTACCTCAGCTGCGACTTGGGAGGAGGGGCAGGGAGACCCTTCCCTCGGGGCAAGACAGGGGCACTGGGCACTGATGGCCTGGCCAGGGATGGCAACTGAGAACTCTGCTGTCCAAGGCCTCAAGCTTCAGGCCAGCCCTGCTTCTGCCTTTGTCACAGCCCTGGGAAACTTCTATCGTCCCAGGAGGGAGACTGAGGTATAAGATTGAGCAAGGAGCCGAGTCAGATGGAGAAAGAAGGGGCTTGAGTGTCAGGAGATCTCCAATCTCAATCCAGACACTTTCTAGCTGTGTGACCTCAGACATGTGGCTTCCCCTCTGAGCCTCAGTTTCCACTTTATGATGGAGATAATGGGATAGGCGTGCTCTGGGGACAGAAAGAACTGACTCATGTAACTGGGAGTCTCTGCACCGATGTGACCGACTTTGTCTATCAGTAGTAACGAGTATTAATGATGTCGTCTGTTGTCGCTCCTCGAAGCGGTCTCCCGCTGCAGCACTGTCCCATCTGCCAGCTCCAAAGCAGCATGTGCTGTGGTCTGGGCCCAGTGTCTGTCTGTCCCAGCTCAGTTCTGTACCACACGAGGGCCTGTGAGCCACCCCAGCCTGATGAGCGGGCTGAAACCCACTCAGAGAGCATGATGGCTGGGGCCTCCTGCCAGAAACACGCTCCCCGAAGGCCCCAGGTGCCCCAAGTCCCACCGCAGCCCTCCGACTCCTGGGCCCTGTGAAGGTTGAGGGCGCCCAGACAAGCTGTCCTAAGGCAGGGCCGGGTAGCCCCGGGGCGGCCATTGGTGTTGGAGCTTTTCCAAACACCAAGGGGAACTGAGAACTGTGGGAATGTGCCTTGGGCAGGCTGGGGTGGGCTGGGCCTGGGTGGGAGGGGGCTGCTCCAGGGAACCCAGACTGATGGGGTCCCGGGGGCGAAAAGGAGAAGGGGACCCGCAAGCCGGCGGCTGTGGAGTTGGGGGTCACTGCGAGGTGCCATCCGGTTGTCCAGAGAGAGCTGGCCGGGCAGTGGGAGGCTGGGGAGCTGTGTGGGGAAGGAAAGAGGAAGCCATGGGGAGAGGGGGATGGGGCTGCCGGGGATGGAGTGGGAGTGGGGGCTGTGGGGCTGGGGGCCTGGAGCCACTTCGGCCGCAGCTACTTCACTTCTCCCGGTTTCGGTTTGTAAATAGCTGCTGGCTCCGTGCAGGCGGGATGGGCCCTGCCCCTTCTGCGGCCTGTGTCCAGGGAGGCCCAGGTCTGAGCAGCTGCAGATGCTCAAGCCCTGGATTTGAGGACCCCAGGAGGTATCAAGTTGGCCTGGCCTTTGGTCTGGGCGGGCAAGTTCTGGTGGGCCCAGCTCTGGGCAGCCCCAACCTGTGGTCACTGAGGTAATGCAGCTGAGACAGAACTTGATGACTTGGCCACACTGGGCTTATTTATAACTGGGCCTCCGTGGGCAGAAGCAGCTGCTGGGCCGCCAACTCAGCACTTGGGCCGGCCCAGGGCACCAAGGCAGAGGACAGGATGGTGGGGGCCAGGCCGGCTAGATGGCCCCTCAGGCTGGGCCTCTGGTCTTGGGATCCCCATGCCTCCATGGCTGGAACCAGTCCTTGTGCTGTGATGGGCAGGCCTTGAGATGCCGGGGGAGCTACGTGTGGGGAGGGCATCTGAGAACCTTCTGGATCAAGGGGGTGGCTGAACTCAGTCATAGGACTGGTCACTTCCCAGGGGGCTTGGCCTTCCCGCAAAGAAACTCTTTCTCCAGAAGTCAGATACAGTCAGCAAACTCAACAAGAAGCGAAGTCATCTCCCCTCCCCTTCTTGCAATAGCAGCTTAAAAGCAAAACAAACACGTTCACGAAGAGGGTGAGCAGATTCCTAAGGCCTGGCCCTCACGGTGGAATCCAGACAACCGACAGACGGGGGAAGGAGCGGGGCCCTGCGAGGCCCCCCCCCAGCTCACCACATGGGCACCCATCTCCTTGGCGGACAGGAAGGGCTGGCCCTGCCCCCACCCTCCAAATGAGGGCTGTCAAACCCTTTCTTAAGGTTTGCAGGAATAAACAGTTTCCTAAAAATCTTTCTCCCTCTTTTGAATCCTTCTGGATCAACCTTGCCACCTCCCACTCTCTGACCGTCCCGTTGACACCCTGTCTCCCAGACTTGGTCCTGGTCTTCCCGCCTCCAAGCCTTGTTCCAGTCTATTCCCCGCCTGGTATGCCCTTTCCTTCCCCCCAGTCTCACCAGGTCCCCTCTCTGTCAGACCCACTCTGAGGGTCCCAACCTCCATGCTCAGTGTGTCCCCAAAGCTGAGTCTCTTGGGATGTACAAGTCAAGGGATGTCAGAATTGGGGCAGGAAGAGGTGAGAGATTTTAGATCATGGGTGCCAAGATCACTAAACAAAAGGGGAAACCAAGGCTTGGAGTGGGTCAGGGATGGCCAAAGGCACTCGGTGAGTGAAGGATGGAGCCGAGGCCGCATGGCCGGACTCCTGGCCTACAGCTCTCACCCCTAACCTCTGACCTCCTGGACCACCTGCTGGGCCTTGAGTGCCAGGCCCCGCCTGGTCCCTTCCTCTTGGAGAAGCTGTTGGGGATGGGAAGGATGGTGTGGGGGTAACTCAGGCCATCCTCTGCCCTAGTAGGGACGCGGGGTGGTGGGCCCGCTTGGGCCCCTCTGGGCAGGGTCGGGGCGCCCAGCCCGGAGCCGCCCGGGCTGCAGCTGCCCCTGTTTCCACATCGGCAGCAGCAAGTCCGGCGCCTGAGAAAACAGGAAGCGCCCAGTCACCACAGGAAGCCTGTGTGCGCAGCCTCCCCACCCCCAGCCCATTGCAAAACGCCAACAGCCCCATCACCACAGGCACCACACAGCGGCAGCAGGAACGCTCCGGCCGCCCGGCTGCCGGGGAGCCGGACAGACAGACAGACGCCAGCCCTCGCCCGCCGGGCTAGGCCGCGGGGTGATGTCCACTCGTGGCCTTGAGGAGCCCCGGGGTCTTGAAGTCTGGGCCTCATGCCTTCCTCTGGGTTCTCAGCCCCATCCCCAGATGGGCCTGGGCCAGGCCTGCCTTGGCCATGGTTAAATCACAATATGGGGTCAGGGGTCACAGAGAAGCCAACTCTCTGAGCTGGTCATTGGCATTTGACTCTGCGCCTGGCCTTCAGACTCTGACAGGGCCCAATCCCCAAGCCTTACCGAGGCCGTTGGCTCAGAGCCTGCCACCCCCACTACCCCAAGGAGCCAGCTGCTGTCAAGTCCACACCTGCCACACCCTCTGCCCAGCCTCAGCCCTTCCTAACCGAGACTTTCTCAGCCCCTGGGGTCCTGCCCACGCTAGCCTTTGGGAGCCTGGGCCCCTCCTCATCCCACCCGGCCTGCCCCGACTCACCTCCCATTTCTGGCCCCCCTGGGCTCCACTCTCCGAAGGAGCTGGCAGTCCACTGAGGCCGAGGCCCGGTGCCTGGGGAGGCCTGTGCTCCTCCAGCCCCGCGGACAGCAAGGAAAAGAGAAGAGAGCAGAGCATTTCATGGCTATAATAAATCAAAGGGGGAAGTCGAAGCAGGAGAAATAAGAAACTTCCCTACCCTGGGCACAGGGACCTGCCAGGCAGCAGCCCCCAGTGCCCCGCAGCCTTCCCTTCCTCCTGCCTCCCTGGCTGGGGCCCAGATCGGGTGCCCTCTCCTCAGGCCTAGGCACCCCACCTGCCCAGAGACCCCCTTCTCACTGTGCACCCTGGGGCTAGGCACCTCTCGTCTCTGGGCCTCAGTTTCCTCCTAATGGGCACAGAACTCCCCAAGTCGTGTGCTGGTCTGTGGAGGTGGACGGTCAGGCTGCCCAGCAGAGAGGGCTGAAGGTATGGGGCCCCTCTAGACAAGCACCCTCAGGGGATGAAGAGAGGGCTGAGACATCCTGAGAATTCCTAGTGGGACAGTGGGGCAGAGATGGACAAACGTCTGTGAGAGGAGATGGGAGGGCGAGACAAGAGGCAGGAACACAGAGCGGAGGTGGGGAGAGGCCGAGACTCTGAGAACAGGCGGGGCCTGGACCTCAGCTCTGTGCCTGCGCTCGCTCGAGCTAGACCAAGGGGCTCAGGGCCTGGGGTCCAGGGCACGGGCACCGGAAGTATGCAGCCACGGGATGCACCATGAGCATCTTCCCGGAAAGTCCACTCAGGTGGAAACTGAGAACGGAAACTTTGTTTTTAATAAGGGGGAGAAAAGCCCACCTATTACAAAGAAGGTTACAAATCTGTACACATTTTTAAGATAAAATAAGGAATTTCAGAAATATTTTGGCTCGTTTGGGGGCCACTATGAGCCATGCCCCTAGACGCCCAGCAGATCTCCCTACAACCCCTCAGCCATCCTGGGGCATTGGAAGAGACACAAGATGCCTCTACTTGAACTCTCCTGAAACGGGGCGCTCACTCCCTACTCCAGGTTAGTAATTTGCTCAGTGTGAGCAAATTCTCCTCAGCCCGGCCCTGGGTGTCCCGGTGATGTTTCCTGGACGGCTGCCAGCCTGGAGCTCGGGGCTCTCGGGAGAGAGTGACAGGGCCCAGGATCCCTCTGAGCCTCCGAGATCACGCTGCTTCACTCACAACCTTGGCGGGCAGATAAGAAAGCGGCAGTGACTGTTGGAGTCCAGGCTGCAGAGCCAGACAGAGCCGACAACGTGTAGTGTGTGACCCTGACAAGAGATCTCACCTCTCTGAGCCTCAGTTTCCCTGTCTGGAAAATGCCTACCTTGAAAGTTTCCAGTGAGGGACAAAGGAGGTCATGGAATAAGGCCTCAGAGTGATGATGTGGCCAGCATCCCATGGGGGCCACAAATCCCATCTCCTCCCAGAAGCCCCCACTTCCTCCTTTCTTTCCCTTTCACCTGCCTGAGAACCTTCACTCCCTGGCCTTGCTCTAACCTGTCCTGATCTGGGCGAGTGCTGGAGCTGGGGTTCCCAGCTCTACCCCGAGGCACTCCCTCTCTGAGACAGAGACCCTGGAGGCCCTAACTCCTACGCTGGTAGGACTCCCCACTGCTGCTCACACGCCTCCCACCCTCACAAGACACCCCCTCCCATCCTCAGACAGCCACACTGCTTTAACAACTGCTGGCATTCATAAACCGGGCCCTCTACACACACAACAGCTTGTAATCCTCGTGGCTGCAAGTATTCGTATCCCCATTTCACGGATGAGGAAAGTGAGGCCCGGAGGCGAGGAGTGACTGGTGCAAGGTCAGCTGCCTCAAAAGGGCAGCTCTGAGATGAGAACTCAGTTCTCCTGGCCGCCAACCCAGTGGAAATCGTATGCAAACCACGAGGCGAAGCAGCACCTCTTCATCTAGAAAAAGACTTTGAGCCTTTTGGGGAGTCACTGCTGCCCAGCCCCGTGGTCCTGGCCTGTTCCCAGCTCCCCTGCTCTGTCCCTGCCACCACAGTCTCCTGGTCCAGGCTGTAGGATGTCAGAAGTGGAAACTTCCAGCCCCAGGTGCCCATGAGAGCAGAAAGAGTACAAAGTCCAGAAGGCGAGCCGTCTCATGAATCAAAAGCTCCCTTTGGCTCCGTGCCCCGGCCATGCACACCTAGCAGCGGCACTTAACTCCCTGGGGACACAGGCCAAGAGGGCAGCGTTCCCTGGTGGTTAGAACCAGGGTGTTGGTGCCAGACATTGACGGCTTTAAATTTCAGCTCTGCAACTGAGAGACCACCCCCCGGGGAAGTGACTCGAGCCTAATATGGAGAGGAAAATGCCTTTCCTGGCCTGGAGGATTCACAGAAGGGAAATTTGTTTCTAAAAGCCAAAGGCTCAGGCTTCTTCCTCATGCATGGTCTCATTTGACCCTAACAGCTCTGATGAGTAGGTACGATGACTGCTCCCATTTTATAGATGAAGAAACTGAGGTGACGGAGTCTTTCCAAGGTCCTACAGCCTTGCAGGGGCTTGAATCCAGTCCCACGTGACTCTAAGTCACAGGCACTTACTCTGCCCCAGGGAGGTCCTTCTTCCTTTTCTCCCAGGGATTGTTCCCTACCCCCCAGGGCCAGCGGGGAGGCCCTGAGTGGCAAGCTGAACCATGACTGGCTGGGACTGCAAGGATTGGCCCAGCTCAGCTGTGGCGCGGTTCCCAAATGCCTGATTGTCCTTATTGTTGGGTTGGACATGCAAAGGGTTTGGACCCGCAGCCCTGGGGCCTTGTCTACGCAGTTCCCCTGCCATAGTGTCTTGGGCCACCTTACCCTGGAGCCACTTTAGTGTATGACTGTCTCTTATAAGAGGGATGTAAGCCCTTCCAGGGGGCCTGTCGCGTGGGGTCAGGAAACAGAGAAGCTGGACTTGACTTTCTCACTTGCTTGGGGCCCTTCCAAGGCCCTGGGAGAGGCCTCAGCAGATTTGTATTTGTGACTTTGTCATCTTTTTCTTAAAGAGGGCCCCCAAATTATATAAGCATCAGGCTCCACATAAACCTAGCTCTGTCCCCTGTCCCCAGTTTGGGGGCAGTGGAAAGAGTTCCATCCCTCTTCCCACTTGCTTCGTGCTTGCTGGCTCTGTGGCTTTAGGCAAGACCCCCACTTTCCCATCTAGGCAATGGGAATGGAGTCTGGAGAGTTAGGCGGGTACAGCAGCGGCAATGAGAGGAGCTCATGATAACCCCATCCTTTCCAAGAGGCGCAGTCTCAGAGGGCTTCCACCAGCCTGCACTTGTTCCATCCCCAACAGTCCTGTGGGGTCCTGGAGACTCCCGCCCCCATCTTCCAGCCCAGACAAGTGAGGTTTGGACCGGAAGGAGCAGGCTGGAGCCCCATCCCCCACTGCTCCCTGGGGTCTCTGCCCACGATGCCGAGCCCCGGGTTGGGGGGAGGGGGTCGCCAGGACAAGGGGTGCGGGGGCAGCTCTGCGGAGGCCTGCGGAGGAGGCCGTCCCGCACTGTCTCACCGCAGACCCGACCTCGGCCCTTATCTGCTCCGGCAGCTTCCGCCCCCAGCCCAACCCCCGCCGCAGGCCTGGCCCCCGCCTCCGCCTCCGGAGGGGCAGGCCCGCGCGCCCCTCCCCCGCCGCCCCCAGGGAGCGCGCGAGCTGCTGCCCAGCGGAGCAGAGAGGGGCCCGGCCCCCCAGGTGAGGAGCCGGAAGTGATAAATAACTCCTGGGGCGGCGGGCACCGTCGCAGTGAGGCCTTCCCTGCCCCAGCGTGCCCATCCCAAACAGACAGGGGCTCCCCAAACTGGGCGGCCGCAGCCAAATCTGGGGGTAAGGCTGGGAGGGCAGAGGGGCCGGGTCCCTTAAAGCCCCAGGGGGCAGGAGGAGCAGTGCGGTCGGTCTACACGGGGCTCTGAGAGACACGAGACCCCACACACGTACGCACACGCACACTAACAACGCCGATGGGCGTCCCTCGCACAGGTGTGGAAGAGAAGAGAGAAGTGCAGACACCTTAGAGAAAGTGAAAAGCAAGCCACAAACTGGAGGAGAGTCTGCCTCGTACGACCAGCAAAGGATAAGCGTGAAAAATACACAAAGGACTTGCAAATCCATAGGGGAAAAAAAAACAGGAAACAAGTAATCCAACAGAGAAATAGATCAAAGACGTGAACGGGCTTTTCTACAGAAGAGGAAATGCATTTGTCCAATGACCACCTAAGGGATGCTCGAGGTCATTGGTGATGAGGGAAATGCAAATGAAGACCACAATGCGAGGCTATTTTACACCTTTTGAAGGGCACAAATTAACAAGCTTGACAGCACGTAGTGTTGGAAAGGAGGTGGAGCCACGGAATCTCCAGTGCATTGCTAGTCAGAGTGCAACTCATCCAGTGCATTGCTAGTCAGAGTGCAACTCGATATAACCACCCACGGGCAAAACAATCTGGCCTTATCTTATAAAGCTGAGGCACAGCCAATCCCCTCCAGGCTTAAAATCAAGAGGAACTTTGGCATGCGCTCCAAGAGACACGGACAAGAACGTTCAAAGCTGCACCGTTCTTCATAGCAAAGATCTAGAAGTAACCCAAGTGCCCAGTGAGAAGAGAATGGGTACATGAATTACAGTGGATGCGCTCATAACAGTGGCCCATCATTAGCAGTGCACGCAGGTGAACCTGTTTCACACAATATCCTGAATGAACCTTAGTACCATATCGCTGAGTGAAAAATCCAGGCCCAGAAGATGAATACTTACCCTTCCTGTGAAGTTCAAAACGAAGTCAAACCAAATCTCTACAAATAACAATGTTGGGTCCTTCCTTCTAATACTTTTGTTATTAAGAGATGACATGATTTCCCACCCCAGAGACTTAAAAGTATACTCAAGACTCAAGAGTAATACTGAGGGGGCTGGCCTCGTGGCCGAGGGGTTGAGTTAGCGCGCTCCGCTTCGGCAGACCAGGGTTTTGCCGTTCGGATCCTGGGCATGGACATGGCACCGTTCATCAGGCCATGCTGAGACGGTGTGCCACATAGCAGAGCCAGAAGAACCTACAACTAGAATATACAACTATGTACTGGGGGGCTTTGGGGAGAAGAAGAAGAAAAAAAAAGATTGGCAACAGATGTTAGCTCAGGTGCCAATCTTTAAAAAGAAAAAGAGTAATCCTGAGAAATTATGAGAACCAGTGAAAAAAGGTAGTTGGATTACCAGGTATCAAAGGAATACATAAAAACTATTTGCTGGAGGCCAGCCCAGTGGCGTAGTGGTTAAGTTTGCGTGCTCCACCTCAGTGACCCAGGGTTCACGGGTTCGGATCCTGGGTGGGGACATACACACCAGTCACCAAGCCATGCTGTGGCAGAGTCCCACATACAAAGTGGAGAAGGATTGGCACAGATGTTAGCTCAGGGCCAATCTTCCTCACAAAAATAAAATAAAATAAAAATTATTTGCCTTCCTGCACACTATCAATAGGTCATTCAAAATGTAATGGGAAATATCCTGTTCAAAATATTCACAAAAATATGAAATACCTAGAAGTAAACTTATTAACTGTTATGCAGGGCCTATATGAAAACAATTGTAAAAATCACTGAATAATGTAAAAAAACCTGTAAACAGCTTTTTTCCCCTTATTTAAAAAAAAAGCCAAATCAAACAGACTATTGTCCAGGCATACTTATATATATGAGAAAACTCTTTCTTTTTTGAGGAAAATTAGCCCTGAGCTAACATCTGCTGCCAATCCTCCTCTTTATGCTGAGGAAAACTGGCCCTGAGCTCACATCCATGCCCATCTTCCTCTACTTTATATGTGGGACGCCTACCACAACATGGCTTGCCAAGTGGTGCCATGTCCGCACCCGGGATCTGAACCGGCGAACCCTGGGCCTTCAAAGTGGAACGTGTGAACTTAACCTCTGCACCACCGGGCCAGCCCCAGAAAACTCTTTATTTGGAAAAAAAAAAAAATGAAAAGGACTGATCATCGAAAAATTCAGGTTTCCCCAAGAAGGAGGCAGGGAAATGGGATGGGGGAGGGGTGACAAGTAAGCACATATATCATTAAACACATAAATTAAATAAAAAAGGGCCCTGCAGAGGCTCAGATGACAGTGCCTAATACACAAGGATTTCACCCTAATTTGCGCTTCTGAGGTAGGAGGGGGGAAAGGGAGACACTAAACTCATTTGGGCAGACTTTTCTTCAGGGTACAGGCAAGAGCTGGAAGCCCACAGTGGGTGGAGAGAGGCCTGTGTACACGGCAGACAGAGCTAAGGGTCCCAAAGACACACAATACCGAGGGCCTTCAGGCTGGACAAATCCAGGAGGCTTCAGGGAAGAGGTGGCCTTGTAAACGGGCTGGATTTCAATTGACAGAGATGGTGGAAGGGGAAGGCCATGCCGGGCCTGCCAGGGCTGGGGTGAGGGTTACAAACAGGGTTGGAAAGGCAGAGAGGCCAGACAGAAAGTAGTGAGGCTTGGGAGAAAGCACCCCAGAATCTCTGGAGGGAGCTAAGGCTGCTCTGGGAGGAATAACTGGAGAGAGGGTTAGGGGCAGAGGTCCGGAGGGCAGGGCTGGTTTGGAGGGGCCCCTGAGGCCTCTCTGCAGCTGTGACCTTGGGCAAGTTGCTCCCCGCCCTGGGGCTCAGATGCCTTTCTACGGTTGCTGCCTGCCTGCAGACCCCCACAGCAAGCCCCGAGAATAAGGAGGCCCACTCTCTCGAAGGCCACGCTCTGGAAGCAGAAGCAGCGCATATCCACCCCCAGTCCCCGACTCTAGCCCTGCCCTGCCGGAGAAGGGGCATGTCAGAGCACTGGCCACGCCAGGCTTGCCGCCACCGCCCAGTCAGCAGGCCCAGGGGCAGTCCCACCTTCTGGAAATAAAAGGCTGAGGCCTGGTTGCTGAGGCCCCCAGTAAAAGTACCAGAGCCGGGAACAAAGTGTCAAAGTCAGACCCTGGGTAACCCAGTGAAGTCAGAGAAATGGGTCTGCCCTCTGGTCCCAGACCCCTCCCAGCCACTCAGAGCCAAGCAGTGTCCAGGCCCAGCCTGCCCTGCTGAAGCCTCTCTGCCCAGCATGGACAGCCAGGAGGTCCCTGAGGCCTCCAAACCGACTGATAAATGTGATGGAAAACACTCCTCTGTGCTCAGCAAGGAGAGGAGAAAGGACGGCCCCCACCCTGTGTCTTGAATTTATCTAGTCTTTTCACGGTCGTAACATTTTCTTTCTTTTTTTTTGAGGAAGATTAGCCCTGAGCTAACATCTGCTGCCAATCCTCCTCTTTTTGCTGAGGAAGACTGGCCCTGAGCTAACATCTGTGCCCATCTTCCTCTATTTTATATGTGGGACACCTACCACAGCATGGCTTGCCAAGTGATGCCGTGTCCACACCCGGGATCCAAACCAGCGAACCCCAGGCTGCCGAAGTGGAACTGCGAACTTAACCGCTGCACCACTGGGCCGACCTGCGACATTTTCTTTATACCCATGCATCCACATAATAAATAATAATAATATCTAACCCTTAAGCAGAACTTCCCATGTGCCAGGCATAGTTCTACGTGCTTTGTGTGTATTCGTTCATTTAATCCTCAGAACAATCCAGTACAGTCATCCATTTTATAGGTGAGGAAACTGAGGCATAGAGAGTTAACTAATTTGCCCCAGGAAGTCTGGTACCAGAATCTGGCGGTCTTAACCATCAAGCTAGGAGGCCATCCTATATATATAAATTTTTACATAATTGCACAAATGTGATCATATATATGTTGAAACGTCTTTTTAAATTTTTCTTTTATATTTGTCCTCCCCCCACCATGGAGTCCACGTCCTCACCCTAATGTGTGATCTTCTGTATTTTTTATTTGCTCACAATTACACATGGACTTATATATATGGGCATCTATAATCACATGTACATATACAAGGTTCCTTTTTGTCAATATTTTAAAATAGTGAATCATCTTAAATATTATCCTATCTCTGTTTTCTCACTCGTCTATACCTGGAAGCCCCTGGCAGATCTAATTCACTGTTTTTAACAGCCGTATGTGGTACCTTGCGTGGAACACACCCACCGCGTCTTTCCACCTGGCCCTCCCTGCTGATGGTCATCTTCTCAAGTCCCATCACACCCGCAATGCGCTTGTTGCTTTAATCCCTTAGGGAGTCTGACCATGAAAATTCTAGGCCAGGTGAGAGGAAAGGGCAGTAAGAAGGCAGCGAGTGGCATTTTTGACTGAGTCTTGCCTACCCCCTTGCTGGTGGCCAGCAGCCCTCAGTCCCCAGAGGCAGGAATGCTGACTGTGTTATTGTGAAATCATTTGTATATTGTGAAGTGCTTTGCATATGATGAGTGATTTGCATATAGCAGGGGGAGGGGCATCTTAGAGATCCCAGAGCAGCATCCCTGAGTGCTGAGTGTCTTCCTCCCTTTGCAAAGAAACCAACCCCAGGTCTTCCACTTCAGAACTCAGGATGGGGCACTGGAAGGCATCCTGGCAGACCTATGGCTCTGGTGGAGCGAGGCAGACAAGGGCCTTTCAGAGGAAAGCTGATCCCACCTGGAAGGAGCTGGGGCTCTAGCAAGGGCAGACACTGGAGCGTGAAGTGGAACAGGGCACCGGGTGCAGCATGAGAACCGAGCGTGCCCTCAGAGGCCCCAGTGCTGGAGGGCAAGACAGGACAGATGAAGGGAGCTACCAGGGAGGCAGGTGCGGGTCAGGGGCTTGGAGACCCCCACTCCTTCACAATCTCTGCCCATGTGAATACCCATGTGCCCCTTCCTGAATATCGTACTGTTCTGGCTGATTCCTAGAGAAGGATGCAAAGTGGACACGAGAGCCAGACTCCCACTGCCCTATTAGTGAGCGGCTATCACATGCTCTGGGTTCAGGGACATCCAGGTTTGAATCCCGGCTCTGCCATCGGTGCCACTGTGTGATTGCGGGCTAACAGTACCCACCTCAATGGGACAGACTGAGGACTCAGTGCGATAATGCCAGCAGAGTGAATGGCACGTGATAGGCGTTCAGTAAATTGCAGTGATAATGATAATGCTGTTGTTTGCTGCCCTGGTCTGAGCTGAGGGAAGCACAGAGCCCTTCCTCCTCCAGGTCTGGAGTTCTGAGCAGCACTGTCACCCATGCATTGGACCCCAAAGGGTTACAAGTCCTGGAGACAAAGGCCTGAGGTTCCCAGTGAAAAACCAAAGCATAAAAATAATTCGATGAGTAAGAATAAAATTCCCTCTTCTGAGGTTCCCGGGGCTAGGCCCCTCCCTGCGGCAGGCACTTCCCCTTTCCCTTGTTCATGGAGGAGCCAGGCACGGCTGACTCAGAGCAGGAGCGCCGCAGCCATGCTCCACCCGAACCCCGGCCCGGCTCGGCCCAGGGCGGCGCTGTCCGGCAGCCGAGCGCGCCCCCGCGCGGCCGCGGGCGGCACTGCAGCCCGAGACGGGAAGCGGCGGCCGGACCCGCAGGCCCAGCCACCCGGCCGCTAGCGGTCCCTGCGCGGCCGCCGCCTCCGCCCTGCCCAGCCCGGCTGAGCGCGGTGCCCGCCGGGCTCCCACTTCCGCCCGGCCCTCCGCGCCGCCCCGAGGCCGGCCCGAGCGGAAGTGCGCCCGCCGCCCGGGTCCCCCATGGCCGGGAGGCGGAAGCGCGCCCCGACCGCCGCTCCGCCAGGCCCCGCGACGCGCGGCGTCGAGGGTTCCGGGCAGGTCCCGTGTGACGTGGCCGCGCGCCGGGGGCGGCTCCGGGCCGGGGGCCGGCGGCCGAGCCGGGCGGGGCCGAGCCGGGGCGGGGCGGCGCAGCAGCTGGATGGCCGGGGCCGCCCGGAGCGTCGCCGCTGCCGCCGCACGGTGAGTGACCGCCGACCCTCGGGGCCGATCCCCCAGCCCCGGCCCGGCTTGTCCCAATAGGACCTGGGCCTCTCGCCCCAGCCCCGAGTTCAACTTCCCCGGGCGGTCCTTCCCTCCTGTCGCCCCCCGTCCGTCCCCATCTCCTCCTCGCGCTCACCCTCCGCGGCCGGCTCGCTCTGGCTTTCCTTCTTGCTTTCTCCTTTCCCTCTCCCCTCTGACTCCCTCGGTCCCCTTTTCCCCTATCCCAGACCTGTGGTCCCCTCCCCTCTGCGTGACCCCCCTCGGCCCCCAAGTCCGGCCCGGCCCACTCCTGCTGTTGGTCCCCAGTAAGCCTAGCTGGTTCATCGGGGTCTCCCGTGAAGGCCTGGAGAGCCGAGACGTGAGCATCCTTTCCAGTCCCGCCCACCTCCATGCACAGATGAGGAAACTGAGGCAGGGACGTCCCTGCTCAAGGTCACAGCCAGCGTGAGGCAGGGCAGACCACATTTCAACCTCATGCCAGAGTTTCCAGATTGAACTTCTCTCTGGGTTGATTCACATCCTGGTCCTGTGCTCTGCCATCTGCGTTCATCCCTGCTGCCTGGAGCTCCAGGCCTCCCCCAGCAGAAGGAGGGTCCTCTGCGCCTCTTCCCTGCCAGGCTCGTTCACCAGCTCTAGCAAGCTCCTCATCTTCCCAGCCGTGTGAGGGAGGCAAGAGTTGTCTTCATCCTCCAGAGGAGGAAACCGAGGCTCAGAGAGGGGGCTTCAGGGACTGGCCCTCAGTCAAACAGCTGTCAGTGCAGGGCACCAAGTTAATGGCAGGGCTCCAAGCCTGTGCGCTGTGCATCTGTTATGAGGCAGCTCCTAAGGAGGGGTCCTTTCTCTTCAGTACCATGGCCTGTCCATGCCCCAGGGACATTGGGTTCATTTCCTAGGAAGAAGCCCTGATGACCCCATCCTAGCTCAGTGACTTGATTTCCACACCTGCACCTCCTAATGTCACCCCATCAAGCTAGACGGGGCCGGCCTGAATCCCTGGGGTGTCCTCACAGGGGCACATCTTGGCAGCAAAGCCTCCCCTGGCAGCCAGAGACACCCGGCTGGGCTGGGCCTGCCGGTGGCTTAGGGGAACCCAGCCAGCGCCTCATCCTGTCATTAAGGAAAGTTTAGCCTCAGGCGGACATGCTGACACACAGTCTGGAGCCGTCTCAGAAGGAAAAAATGTGTGGTCCTTGGGAGTAGGACGTGGAGGAAGAGAGCCCCTTTGGTCTGTGTACCCGCCGTTCAGATTCTCAGAGGCCCTGGGCAAGGCAAGCAGGGGGGCAGATGCCGTGGCCAGTTGTCGGGGGAGAGCTAAATGCCACGTTTCCTAAGCAGGTGTGCGGCCAAGGGTGGCAGCTCACGTAAGTGGCCTTTGTTTTTCAGCACGTGGTATGTCTGGATGTCCCTGTCCTGGTTGTGGCATGGCGGGCCAAAGGCTCCTCTTCCTCACTGCCCTTGCCCTGGAGCTCCTGGGGGGTGCTGGGGGTTCCCAGCAGGCCCTCCGGAATCGGGGGGCTGCAGCAGCCTGTCGCCTGGATAACAAGGAAAGCGAGTCCTGGGGGGCCCTGCTGAGCGGGGAGAGGCTGGACACTTGGATCTGCTCCCTTCTGGGCTCACTCATGGTGGGGCTCAGCGGGGTCTTCCCACTGCTCGTCATTCCCCTGGAAATGGGGACCACTCTGCGCTCAGAAGGTGGGTGACCCTCCACTGGCGCCCAGGGGCAGCCAGCAGGGCTGGAGATGTGGTCCTGCTCTTCCCAGGAGAGCTGGCTCTCACGTCCCTGATTCCAGAGTGTCTGAGGTGGCAGGCGGGCATGAAATACAATTTCTCCCCTGGGGCCTGTGAGACCAGGATGCGCCACGATTATTTGTTTGTTCATTCATTCATGCGTTCGTTCATTTATCCTGAAAGAATAAAAGTCAGCCAGTGTTCCCCGAGAAGCAGTATAGATACTGCTTGGAAATAGGGATATTGGAAATAGGGAAATAGGAAATACTGGTTGGAAATAGGGAGGCCAGGCCACCTGGGTTCTGCCACTTACCAGCTAGTGGCATTGGGCAAGTTGCTTCCCGCCGCCTCAGGCTCCCCATCTTAAAAATGGGGTAATAATAGGATCTGCCTCACAGCTATAATTGTGAAGATTAAATGAACTGATATCAATAGAGCATTTGGAAGACAGCCTGGTGCAGGAGAAAGGCAGCCTGCTCGCGGCCCGTGGGCTGGGTGCCGGGCTGCGTACCGGGATGCAGCAGCGAGCAAACCAGTGCATCTCCCTTCAGTCTTTGCTCAGAGTGCAAAAGAGCTCTCAAACTAAGAGCTCTGGGTCAGCCTTATCTGGGATACACGAGAGGCTGGGGCAGGCCTGCCTCCGGAGAGGGGCTCAGGGAGGGGGCGCTGGCGTGGGCACAGCTTTTCCTTGGCTCCTCTTTGGATCAGGCGCATGTGCTGTCTATCCACAAATGACATGTTGTAATGAAAAATACAAGATCAGATGGGGAGCTGCTAAAAACGCAGGTGCCTGTCCCCCGCCCGCCCGAGAGGATGACATAGTGGGTCTGGACCGGGGCCCCAGGAATCTTTGCAATGAGTGCGGCAGGGGCTTGTCCTGCCCTCCAGGCTCAGGAACTGTTCATTCAGCAGATGGTTATGCACACAGCCGTGCCAGGCCCTGGGCTGAGGGCTGGCACCGCAGCTGTGAACACAGCCCTCGTGGGGCCCCGCTGTCGTGCCTGTGCATCGGCTCAGCCCCTTGGATAGCGTCCCTTCAAGGTCAACATAGGGAGGACTTGGATTCCAGGCATCCCTCGCTTTATTGCGCTTCCCAGGTACTGCATTTTTCACAATACGCTCCACCAGCAGAAAGATGGTGACTCGCTGAAGGCTTAGAGGATGGTTAGCATTTTTTAGCCATAGTGTATATTTTAATTAAAGTATGTACATTGCTTTTTAGATATAATGTTATTGCACACCTAATAGCATAGCGTAGATATCTTTTATATGCACTGGGAAACTAAGAAATTCATGTGAGTCACTTTATTGAGACGTTTGCTTTGTTGCGGTGGTCTGGAACCGAACCCGCAATATCTCCGAGGTATGCCTGTATTAGCCCCATTTTAAAAACGAGGAAGCACAAGCACAGAGAGGTTCTTTGACCAGCCCAAAGTCACGTAGTCTGGAAACAGTAGCTTCTCCTGGAATCCCATCCCACCGCTAGGCTGCCACTGTCCCCTGGGCCTCAGTTTCTCTATGAAACCAAGGGTCTGGGCATAGCCCCCTGAGGGCACTTCCAACTCTGGATGCTGCGAGTCTTCAAAAGTCCCCCAATCTCTGCCACTTTTGTGAGAGTAACAGTGGCTGAGAAGAGAAAAATTCCCATTTAATGAGCACTTGCTGTGCGTATTGTGGCTCAATCCCCTCAAGATCCCTATCAGATAGATCCAGTTATCCCCGGTTCACAGCTGGGGAACAGTCCCAGAAGCCATATGCCCACGGTCTCCAGCTGGTGGGTTGGGAAGCTGGGGCCTGTCCAGCTCCCAAGCCCAGTCTCTTAACCATGAAGCCATCGTGGCCTCCCCAGTTGTCCAGCAGGTCATGGGGCGTCCCTGCCAAGCACCCGGCCCTTGTTGGGCCTGGGAGTGGGGGACCCAGGAAGGGCAGCAGCCGAGGTCCCGCCTTCTGGAGGCTGGGAGTCTGGTTGGGACAATACGAAGAGCCCAGTCAGCTGGGTGGGGCGGAGGTCAGGCCGGGGCCTTTGGTGGGTCCGCCCCCAGGCCCCGCTTCTCTGCCTTGCAGCGGGGGCCCGGCGCCTGAAGCAGCTGCTCAGCTTTGCCTTGGGAGGCCTCTTGGGCAATGTGTTTCTCCACCTGCTGCCTGAGGCGTGGGCCTACACGTGCAGCGCCAGCCCTGGTGAGTGAGGCCGCAGGCTGAGGGCAGGAGGGAGGGGGTGGGTCCCCATGCGTTGGCCTAGGCCCTGCCACAGTGACTGGAGAGGGGTTCTGGGCATCTGGCCGGGAACTTGTCCTGGTCCCAGCACCGTAGCCCTTCTGGGAGTCTCTGGGGCCCAGCTGTTTCCCCAGCCAGTTCTGGACCCCTGTCGTGTCACTGGCCTGGATTAGGTCCCCCCTTCCATGGTCCTGGCTTGGCCTGGCCTGTCAGTGCTGCCCCCTGCAGGTGGTGAGGGGCAGAGCCTGCAGCAGCAACAGCAACTGGGGCTGTGGGTCATTGCTGGCTTCCTGACCTTCCTGGTATTGGAGAAGATGTTCTTGGACAGCAAGGAGAAGGAGGGGACCAGCCAGGTGAGCCCCAAACCCCAGGGCCTGGACCCATCAGCCTCTGTTTTGTGGTAACACCAGGGCCTGGAGACCCAGATTCTGACTTGAGCTCTGAAAAGAGGGTCTCTTGGCCCTTTCCTGGGAGCTCTGGGAGGCTGGGCCAACTTATTTGGAAGGATCTGGAGAGTGACAGCATCAGCTCCTGCCGCAGCTTGTTCTCATAGACTGAGGGGGACAGCAGTGTCGGGGGAGGAGGAGGGTTTGTTGAGTCTGGGGGCACCTGGCTGATTGAGCGGCAGAGAAGTCTAGCCAGATGAAAGGGGTGTTCCCTGTCTCTTGTTTCTCCATCTCCCGGTCCCCTTCGGTGTCACCCTGGCTGAGTCGGGAGTGTCTAATGTCACCTCTCCCTCCTCCTGGCCCTAGGCCCCCAGCAAAGACCCCGCTGCTGCTGCTGCTCTCAATGGAGGCCGCTACCTGGCCCAGCCGGCTGCAGAGCCTGGCCTGAGCGCCATGGTCCGAAGCATCAAAGTGAGTGGCCCGCTCAGCGTCCCCTCCTGTAGCCACCCCAGCCCGAGCGGCCAGCCTGGCTCAGCCCTGCAGCCTGGCTCAGCCCGCCTTTCTCGCCCCCCTCCCAGGTCAGTGGCTATCTCAATTTGCTGGCCAACACCATAGATAACTTCACTCACGGGCTGGCTGTGGCTGCCAGCTTCCTAGTGAGCAAGAAGGTGAGTAGGGGTGGGGCAGGTGGGCCCCAGGCACTGCTGATGGGAATGATGGTGCCTGTGTTGACCAGTTGGCTCTACCTCCAAAATAGGTCTCCAGACTATCTCCTTCTCGCTCCCTCCACCACCAACACTCTCCTCCAAGCCCCCAGGACTCCCTGTTGCTCTCCTGGATGCAGCCTTCTTTTGTCCTGAGCCCGTGGTCTGATCTCCTTGCTGCAAACACTCCTTGTTGGGATCACATGCCTCTGCCAGGCTCCTAGGCTTAGCCGCTGTCTGCTTCTAGATGCTTCTCCCCCTCCTCCCCTCTGCGCTCTGGCCTCAGTGGTCTGGCCCAGCTCTTTCCCCTCCCGGCCTCCACCGCACACCATTCCATCTGCCTGGAATTTCTTCCTCCCACCCTGAACCACTGGCTCCTCGTCCTGCAGGCCTCGGCTCCCTGCACTTCCTCAGAGAGGCCTTTGCTTGCTGACCCCTCCTCTAAATTAGGGCCCCATTACTCAGGTCCCGCGGCACCCAGTTCATCCTTTCGCCCAGCACCTGTCACTGTGTGCTCACACAGTTCTCTGTGTGTTTATTCCATCCTTGCCTCTCCCGTCCAGACTGTTAGCTTCATGAAGGCAGGTTCCTTGTCTGTTTTATTCGCTGCTGTATTTCTAGTCACCAAACGGTGTCCAGCCAGAGCACTCAGAGCAGAGTAAATTTTTGTAGAATGAGCGGACAAGTGGGTGCCCTGGCCCTCGGCACAGACCCCACCAACTCCCCTCCCTGCAGATCGGGCTCCTGACCACCATGGCCATCCTCCTGCATGAGATCCCCCATGAGGTTAGTGCCAGAGGTTTCCATGATCGGTAAGGTGGGCACGGAGCCGGGGGGAGGGCTTTGGGGTGGGACTGCCCACCAGTGGCAGGCTCGGGGGCTGGACTTTGGGGGCCTGGAGCTGCTCAGCCCACCAGGCTGTAGCCAGCCTCTCAGCTGTGCTCCAGCTTCCTCGGGACTGGGGTCCCAGCCAAGGGGATGCGGGCTGGGGGTCCCAGCGGCAGGGCTGGTGCCGGGGCTTGGTGTCCGTACCTGAGACACTCAGGGGTCTGGCCCCACTGGGGCCCAGAGTGATTGTCTGGACCTCCCCTCAGGTGGGCGACTTTGCCATCCTGCTCCGGGCCGGCTTTGACCGATGGAGCGCAGCCAAGCTGCAGCTCTCGACGGCACTGGGGGGCCTGCTGGGTGCCTGCTTCGCCATCTGTACGCAGTCCCCCAAGGGAGTAGGTACGGGCGTGGCGGGTGGTGGAGGCAGGTGGCGGTCAGCAGAGGGGCCCAGCACCAGAGGGCACAGCCGCCCTGCCCTGGTATCCAGGCTGGGTTCCGCCCTGTCTACCCTGTGGGAGGGGGTGCAGTTCACATGGCTCCCCTGGGCTCCCAGCCAGTCGGACCTCCTCCCCCCACCGCAGAGGAGACCGTGGCCTGGATCCTGCCCTTCACCTCTGGTGGCTTTCTCTACATCGCCCTGGTGAACGTGCTACCTGACCTCTTGGAGGAAGACGACCCGTGGTGAGAGGCCCACTGGGACTGTCACTCGCAGAGCCCTTAGGGGCTCATGGGGGAGGATCTTTTGGCCTCTGCCCTCTCCCCCTCAGGCAGCGCCACCCGCTGAGCCCCCACCCCTCCCACAGGCGCTCCCTGCAGCAGGTGCTTCTGCTCTGCACGGGCATCGTGGTGATGGTGCTGTTCTCCATCTTCATTGAGTAACCATTCCTGACGCCCCACCCCCCGCAGCAATAAGAGACTTGGATTCACTCTGTGATGGTGTGTGAGGCAGAGAGGGCGCGTGCCCGTGAGTGAGCCAGCCTCCGACCAGAGGATGATGTGCGTGTGTGTGTGTGTGTGTGTGTGTGTGGTGTGCCCATGTGACCAGAGGTGTGTGCGAGACCGACACTGTGATCCCTTGGGCGTTGGGCCCAGGACCCCAGGCCCGCGCCTACCCCCAGCCATGCGGTGGTCTTCTCTCCTCCCACCCTGTCATCTTGCACCTCCCCGAGTGAGCAGTGAGGAACAGCATTGGTCCCGAGCAGAGGTCTCTTCCCACCGGGACCCCAAGAGGAGTGAGAGCAGCCCAGGGAGCCCAGGGCTGCGGGGAGCCTGCTGGGGCCTCATGCTCCCTGGCCTGAGGGAGCAACCCCCTCTGCGCGTGCTCCCAGCCCTGGGCAGCCAGGGACCGAGGCTGGGGTGCCTTCTCTGCCCTTCCTTCACCAGCTCTAAGGCCAAAGAAAGGACAGGCAGGTGCTTGTGGAGCCCCCTGCCCCGCTCAGCACTGACAGCCCTACCCCTCCAGCCTGGAGCCAGGAGATGCTTCCAAAGACCTTTTCTTCAGGGCTGCCTGCCCGGGGCCAGCTCCTGTTCCCCCAGTGAATGCTCCCTGGCAGCGCCAGCAACTCTTGCCACCTCCAGCTGCCAAACAGCAGCCTGCAGGGCAGCAAGCAGCCCCGGGGCCAGAGAGGCCTCCCAGTCCAGCTCAGGGATGCGTGTACCAGCACAGGGCCCAGGCAGCTGCTCTGGGGGTAGGGAGAGCAAGCCCTGGCTGCCTCCCCCTGCTCGGGCCCCTTTTCCTGTCCCACTGCGGTGGGGGTAAGGTGGGGGTGGTGAGGGCTCCACGTTGTCAGCACTCAGGAATGTGCTCTGGGAGAATGCTGAAGCCATAATCCCCAGCTATTTCCCTTGGCTGACGCCCAGGTACTCAGCTGGCCCACTCCACCGCCAGACTCCAGCCCTGCTGCTTGGCCATGGGCGTTGAGAAGTGGCCATCAACGGGGTCTGAATGGTTTTACAGCAGTTTTGCTGTGGTTCCATTTGTATCTGTAAATACCTGTTCTGTAGATGAGATGCAAATAAATATTATATGCAAACTGGCTGGCTCTGTACTGCACACCAGAGGCCACGGTCTAAGTGGGGCTTTCCTCGGCACCCCACGCCCCAGCCAGGCCGGCTGCTGTGTGGGCCAGCTCCTGCTGGCCACCCTGTGCATCTGCACGGGCATCCCCTCCTTCCAGCCCTTCTGCTTCACACTCCTCTCTGAAGTTACCTGGCGGTGCTTCTCGGAACTGTGGCATTTTGTTTCTCCCGCCTGTTCTGTCGTTAGCTTTCTCTCCCCGTAAAACAAGCCTGGCACCATGCCATCACAGCCCACGTCACCCCAAGGGTGGGGTCCCGATTTTATAGACCTGTGAGCCAAGGGATTTTTCCTGGCCTGCCCCGCCCCCCGAGTAATTTAACCAAGGAAGGGAGCACCATCCCTAAAGTCATCTCCAGGTTTGGCCTCAATGAAATTATTTTTCATTAAAAAGAAAAAATACGAGATCCTTATTCTGCACCACATCCCCTCCCCTCCCCTCTGAAGGCGCTGTGTAAAGACAGCCTCAAGCACCAGGGGCGCTGCCATCCTGCAGTGCTATTAGGAAAAAGCGGAAGGGGCCGTGGAGTCGCACTGCTCTCCAAGCCAGCAAGGACAACTCTCAGTGGCCTGTTGGCAGAGAGCAGCACGCCCGCCCCCCTCACGGAGTCTGGTGCCCGGGCTGTGAGGCCCAAATCAGTGGCATCCTCAGCTGGGGCTGCCTGGCTCTCAGTATCTTATCAGCAAAAAGGGATCTGCTTCCCTCGTCGTGACATACGCAGGACCTGGGGGTCCAGGCCTCTAAGAACACAGAAGGGACCCTGGGCTGTCTCGCCAGCTCCTGGCTGAGCCCCTGCTGGGTAGCACACGTGGTCGTGGTACTCAGCCCTCTGAGGGAGGGGCTGGGGCCCACTTAGGAGGAAGCCAGGGTGGGAAGTGAAGGTGGTGCCTGCAGGTTCACTCAGGTGCCCTGACCAGGGGAATGCCCTGACTGGTTAGAAGAGGGAACCGAAATGCAGGAGGCAAGCTGGCTGAGCCCGGGGCAGGGGACAGAACCAGGGCCCTTCAGAGGCTGTGCTGGGGGTTCCTTCGGCAGAGACTGGGGAGTCAACGGGATCACCAAGGAGAGCACGATGGGGGCACACCTTGGACGGCCAGCCTGGAGGTGGTGGGACTAGCGGAGGGAATGAGGAGACGGAGCTGAGCCCTCCAAACAGGCCACCTTGGGGACAAAGAGGGTGTAGGGCCTTTTGCCAGAAGGCAAGTGAGAGCTGAAGGAGAGTCCCCGGGCTGGTTCCTGGAAAGGCCATTCAGGGGCAGCAGCACGCGGAGGGCAGACAGGTTTTCCTCTCAGCCTTGGGTTTGAATCCCAGCTACGCACCAAAGGTGGTGCAATCATGGCCCAGGTGTTTAAACGCATCTACAAAGTGAGGCTGCCCCACTGGCGGTTACTGAGCTAACCAGATAACATTATGCACAAGACCCACAGAGCACATGGCCCAGAGAAGGCCCTCAATAAGTGGTGAACCACACTCAGTGGGCTGCAATTAGGAAGGCTGGTAGACAGGAGGGCCAGTGAGATGAGATCCTGACAGAAACCGTGACAGGATTATCAGCCCGCCAGGGAGGGGGCCGATGGCAGAATAGGGGAGTGGGAGAGAATACAGCACGGCCAAGGGTTAGGCCCAGAAGGGCTCTCAGAGGGGATCTTGCTCCAGGTTCATTTTTCAGCTAAAGGAAATGGGCCAAAAGAGCTAACAGGGACATGTGGAGAAGCAGGAGATTAGGGGGCGAGGAAACAGGGAGGAGTTTCAGGGAGCAAAGCCCCGGAGCCTGGCTTCACCAGGGAGCAGGCGGAGGACCAGAGCACCAAAATGCAGAGAAGGGAAAGGCTGGCTTCTGTTCAGGCCCTTCATTCTCGAGCCACAGCGCCACAACCTCTAACGCTCAGAGGTGGGGCAGGGGGGTGGGGAGAGGGGTCTGGAGGGACGTGTCGGGGAGGCCAGAAGACCCCAGGCAACAGCTGCAGCACGCGCCCATCGCTCCCAGAGGGCCTCACCCTGACAACTGGTTCCCGTTCTGGGTTTCCAGGCAGCAGCACCTGGGGAGGGGCCGCCCGCATACACCCCAACTCATCCCCCCAGAGCCCAGGCAAGGCGAGACAGACAGATACCAGGGACCTGAAACCATCTTTATTACGAGTTTTCACCAGCCAGAGTCCGGGGGCAGGCTGGGCTGGTGAGCCCCTAGGCGTAGTACTGCAGGTTGGCCTTCTTCTTGGCCTGCACCTCCAGGATGCCCTCCATGTAGTCCTCGTGGGTGAGCTCCGTGGCGCCCCTGCGCAGCGCGATCATGCCCTGCACCCGGGACAGACAGGCTCGAGGGCGCCTCCCGCACCCCTGGCCCGGCTCCCACAGGCCTCGGCTTCTCCGCTGTTCCCCTGAGCACTCTCCACCAGACAGACACTCCTGTCCTGTCCAGGGAAGGGGGCAGGAAGGCACGAAGCAGCCACCCACCTCACCCCACCACTCACCGCCTCCACACACACGGCCTTGCACTGGGCCCCGTTGAAGTCATCCGTGCAGCGGGCCAGCTCCTCATAGTTCACATCAGGACTGGGGGAGACACACACCACGGGGCTCAGCCACTCGTGGGGGTGGCGGGGGCTCGGGAGGCGCAGGTGTCCTCCCGTACTCCCCATCAAGCCCGAGCGCAACTCGCCCTGTGATGACAGGCAAGTCCCTTCCCCACGGTGCCTTGTTCTCTTCTTGTACCAGGTGGGGAGAGGAAAGGAGGGAGGTCAAAGCTGGGTAGGCCAGGTTAGTTCCAGGGTCTCTTGAGCTCCAGCCTTCGAGAAATCCACACCTGGGACTCCAGGGACTGAGTCAGCCTGAAGCAGGGGAGCTGGAGGTTGTGGATGGACACAAAAGATGGCTGTCTCGCCGTCTCCCGAGCGGCACGGGCCACGTGTCAGCACAGCACAGCTACTGCCACGCTGGTGTCACGTGCAAGCACTGTGCTGACACTGCCACAACCCCGTGAGGTTGGTGCCGTCATCCCCACGTCCCAGACAAGAAAATTAGGCTTAGCGAGATTACGCCACCTGCTGAAGGTCACAGATCTGAACCCAGGTCCAGCTGGCCCCTGCTGGATCTCCCGGGCCATGTTGGACTGCACTGATCTACTGAGGTGGGGGAGGCCAGGAAACTGAGGGCCTCCAGCCTGTGTGCCTTCCAATCATGGGGAGGTGCGGGTGGGGGGTGGATTCCAAGGAGCAGAGCCCCAGAATCAGAGCCTGGGCCCCAGCAAGATTCTAGCTCAGGCCCCTGAAGAGAAACGGAGGCCGGCGTTTGGAACGGCATGTGTGAATGGCACGTGGAAGGGAGGCCTGGGGAAGCGCAGCACCAAGAGAGCCAGAGACGGCTCTGCTGCTGCCCCTTCGGGGCTCAGCGCCTTGCTCGTGGCCTTGCTCACCTGACGTTCATCTTCCGCGAGTGGATCTGCATGATTCTGGCCCGGGCCTCCTCGTTGGGCATCGGGAACTCAATCTTGCGGTCCAGGCGGCCTGAGCGGAGCAGGGCGGGGTCCAGGATATCCACTCTGTTAGTGGCTGCAATTACCTAAGCAAGAGGAGCGGCAGCACCTTGAACTGCGGAGGATGCGGCTCACAGATGAGCCACAGTCACAGCCAAGACAGGCAGAGAGGCAGCCAGGGTCCAGGTGAAACGGCAGGGGATATTCTAGGCAGACCCCGATTCTAAGTGTAACTGCACTAGCTAGGTGACAGAGAAGGTCCCCTGACCTCTAAGCCCAGGGGTTCCTCATCTGTGAAGCGACAATACTGACCTTTACTTGGGTGTTGGGCTGGAACCCATCCAGCTGGTTCAGAAGCTCCAGCATCGTCCTCTGCACCTCCCGGTCCCCAGCCTTCTCACTGTCAAAGCTGGCGCACACAGGAGGCCCAGGACACTGATAAGGCCACCACTCAGGCAGAGCCCTCCCCTCCTCCACCACCAGAAGCCCAACGCAACCCGAGCAGGGCGGGAAAAGTCTTGCTCAACTTGGGGCCCCCGGCCCAGATACCGGCACAGAGAAGGTGTCAGAGACTGGAGAGGCTCCTGGGATCAGGTGCCGGGCTGAGGCTCAAACAGCAAAACCAGCCACTGCCTGGGCTATGCCCCTGATGAAGGTGCCATTAAAAACTGAGCTAAAGCTTAAAACCACAGGGATCTGGCCTAGCCTCGGTGCATAAGGGGGAGCCCGGGCAGGCCTCCCTGAGGAAGTGTCCCTTAGGCTGAGATCTGCAGGCTGAAAACACACTGGCTGGACAACCAACCAATGGAGAAAAAGAGAGAAAAAAAACCACACTCCAGAGGGAAGAGCAGGTACAAAATCTCTCCCACCACAGAACCAGAGTGGGCCTGCAAGCCGAGGGGACATGGTGGAGGAGGGAGTCCAGAGTGGGGGGGAAGCAGGGGCAGGATGGGATGAGACTGCAGGGGAGCAGGGACAGGGACAGAGAGGGCCTTGCAGGCCACGGCATGCCTAGCATTTATCCCAGGGAGCAATGGGAAGGCCCAGGATTGTGTAAGGGACTGTGGGTGCATGTGAGCGAAGCGACCAGATTTCTGTTTTCAAAGAAGCATGCTGGCAGGCGTGAGGAGAACGGATGGTCAGAGGAAAAGAGAAGCAGCAGGGAGGCTAGTTAGAAGAGAATTTACGAAGAACCACAAGACTAGAGCTGCCACCATCCTGGGGAAGGAGGGCACAGGGTGGGTGAGCTGGAATTGAGAACAATCCCCTGGGCACCCAGCTCCCCTCACCGCTTGGTGCCAATGGCATCCAGCTCATCGATGAAGATGATGGACGGAGCTTTCTCCTTGGCCAGGGCAAAGGCGTCCCGGACCAGCTTGGCACCATCACCGATGAACATCTGCACCAGCTGGGGGCCAGCCAGCTTCAGGAAGGTGGCCTGGGGTCGGGAGGACGGGAAACAGTCAGGCCAAAGGCACCACC